GGAGGAGGAGATGATTGGATTTATACCCCACCTTTTACTCGGAGTCTCAGAGCATCTTACAATTTCCTTCCCCTCCTCTCCTCACAACATACACCCTATGAGGTAGGTGGGGCTGTGAGAGCTCTTTGAAAACTGCTCTTGAGAGAACAGCTCCGAAAGAACTGTGGCTTGCCCAAGGTCACCCAACAGCTGTATGTGGAGGAGTGGGGAATCAAACCTGGTTCTCCCAGATTAGAGTCCGCGCTCCTAATCACTATATCAAACTGGTATAGGAAAAAAAGGGTGTGTGCTGGGGGATTGACTGGCCAAACGACACGATCCTGACACAGTTACATGAATCTGTTATGCATATCCCAGCATTCTGTCTCAGATTACACAAAGTGATAGTGAGCAAGCGTCTTAAAGATTACTCCTCTTCCAATGGCACTCTTGTTTCTTGCAGGGTTCCTGTGAGGTCCAAAGGGCCAAAGGAGGAAGACCCAACATGAGATGGATTGACTCAGTCAAGAAAAGCTACCGGGTTGCAAGACCTGGGCAAAGCTGTTAAAGATGGGGTGCTTTTGAGGTAATTGATTCCTATGGTCCCCGTAAGTCAGAAATGACATGACAGCACTTAACACACACACCAAAGGGCCTGGCCAGGGTTCTGCGTGGGCTGATAGTGTATCCTTGAACACTCCCAAAATCCTTTGCAATCCCCCAGGGGTTTCATGGCAGACAGGCAGAGAGTCTCCAGCACCAATGTCAAAACAGAGAGGATTTCTTGGCAGAAAGATAGAAAACTACTCTTTGAAATCCCACATGCTTCACCTCAGCTGTCATTTAGGTATGGGGCCATTCTGGGATCATTTGCCTCTGTGGAATCTGAAGCCAGCCATATCTTGAAAAACAGTAATTGCAGGTGAATGCAGTAGTATTTTCTAGGTGTGCATCCTGAGATGAAGACGAAGATGAAGATGACGACAACGAAGAAGAAGAAGAAGAAGAAGAAGAAGAAGAAGAAGAAGAAGAAGAAGAAGAAGAAGAAGAAGAGCTGGCTTTTATATCCCACATTTCTCTACCTTAAGGAGTCTCAAAGAGGCTCACAATCACCTTCCCTTCATCTCCCCACAGAAGGCACCTTGTGAGGGAGGTGGGGCTGAGAGACCTCTGAGAGAACTGTGACTGGCCCAAGGTCACCCAGCAGACCTCATGTGGAGGAAGAGTGGGGAATTGAACCCGGTTCTCCAGATTATGGTCTGCTGCTCTTAACCACCACACCACTCTGGCTCTGAGGAAGGACCCCCACCATGCCTGCAAAAGAAGAGCAATGATTGCACTACATAACATTTACAAGTGGGCAACCAGGATCTTACAATCCCAGTCTATGTAAAATATCCGTACGGAATAACCATGTGGGAGGAGGCTGAGATTTTGACCACTGGCCCCTCCCCAAGCTCCAAGTGTCCACTGGAACTTTTGAACACAGCCTGCATGTATATAAACTCTACACCTACAGCCTTTCTCTATGCAAACTGTCCCTCTTTTCCCCTATAGGGCAGGTTGCTCCAACGCCCAACGGCTTGGCTCGTATCCTGTTCACTGGTAGCAAACAGGCACTTGATTTTCGGAAGATGGTCCAATAGTTCATTTATCTGTTTGTCGGTGTTTGACGGGTAGCTTTGTCATGTTCCTTCACTGTATTCCTTCCGAGTCACAGAGCATAGCTCAGTCGGCTTTTTGCTTATGCATGTTCTTACACAGCCTGATAGAGTTCTACTATCCCCCTCATCCTTGCCATATATCTGCTCTGCTCATCAGAGAATTGTTTAAATAGACAGATCACTCACAAATCAGACATGAATAAATGCTATGTTTCAGTCAAATCCCAACATTCAGGCTTTGTCAAAGTAGTCCTTAGACACATCAATCCGTTTGAATCCACAGCATCAATGTGCATGCACAGTCTGGCAAAAGCCTGACACAAACCAGTTTGGGAGGCAGTTGCAGCTGTTAGGCACACACTGAACAGATTGGGTGATTGATTTATGTCTGGTGGATGCCTCTGAACACCGCGAGTTCAACTATTGTACATTTTATGGTAAAATTTACAGCATCCAGGAGTTCTGATGAACATGTACAGGTGGAGCAAGAGCCCCATGAACCCAGTGCCTCTCCATATGTTCGCTGGGCAGTGAGCAAAAAATACCAGAATCCCGCCTTACTTGGAGGAGCACACTTGCTTCCAGGGATGGTTAAACCCCCCAAAGACCAATAGAAATTCATCTTGATTGAAATCAGTCTTCGGCTATCAAATTGATTCTAAAGTAATTTGCCCTGGGGTGGAAGTACTCAATGATAACATGGAAATAGAACTCCATATACATTATCTACATATTACTCATGGTAACAGGCAAAATATTCTTATGGCAGATGAGCCAGTGGGGTGTAGTAGCTAGAGTGCTGGCCTAAGAGTAGAGAGACCCAGGTTCAAATTCTCGCTAGCTGTGAAACTTCCTGAGAAACTTTTGGCCAATTGCTCTTTCAGTCTAACCTGCCTCATAGTGTTGTTCTGAAGATACACGCCTAT